GTTTTAGGAGGTGTAATGGTATGGAATAATGCAATATATAAAAAATCATGGAGTATATCAAAACCTCATTATGCTGTTACAATTAGATTGAATCTTACATATGGAGATTAGTATAATGGAAATTTTTATTATACAATTTAAGGAATAAAATCAGTACCTCATCCAAAACCATCATCTGGAGGATAAAACTTTATTGGTAAGAATTTAAATGAAATAACAAAATATTTTGAAATTTTCCAGAGTCCATTCACATCTTCTTCATTAGATATTGAGTTTCAATGCACAGATACAACTGCAGATCCAAGAGATTAATTTTGCGCAATTTCTGATTACTTTATTGTAGTACACTATGTAAATATTTTGATTGTATTTTAAGTGTCTCCCATTTTGTTAAATTTGCAATGATGGGGTCTCTTGTGTTATTTGGGAATCTGGACACACAAGTCAAAATTGCAATACTAATTAGTTTCTATAATTTGATTCTAATTCAGAAACTTATAGTTGTATTACATGTAACTAACCTGGATGTTTAACTTGTAAAAATTTGGAAGAATGCACTTCTTGTGATTTTTCAAAAGGGTTGAATAATGGTGTATGTTTCTAATGCAATAAATTCTGTGAAACTTGTAAAGGTAGTTTGAAAACAGATTGTATAACATGTGTTTCAGATTTTCAAAGATTTATATTCAATAATTAATGCTAATGTTTACCAGGCTATTATGATGATGATATTAATCTACCATGTCATCCTGTTTGTGGAGATCTTTTAGTAGTTGATGGAGAAGATTGCGATGATGGTAATAACAATCCATTTGATGGATGTCATAATTGTAAATATGGATGTGATGCTTTTTGTTAAGAATGTATATAAGGGGTTTGCTATTTATGCTAAAATGATTTATAAATAATCAATAATAAATGTGTTGGAATTTGTGGAGATAATATAACATCTCACGATGAGTAATGTGATGACGGAAATATAATTTCATTTGATGGTTGTTTTGAGTGTTAATATTAATGTTAGGCCGAATGCACAGATTGCAAATTTGGATTATGCTATGATTGTTCAATTAAAGGATGGTAATTATTTAATAATTATTGTATTCCTTATAAGTTCAAAAAATTTTATTATATAAAATAAACTATTGCTAAAATTGTAAATATGAGTAAATAAATGAAGAATAAAAGTTTGAACAGAACTATAATATTTTTAGGGAAGGTTAACTTACAAATTCTCTAAAAGTAGATAAGGTGATTCATAATTATTTAATCTAAATAAATTAAGCATTTGTAAATATAATTTGTTAAATCTATTATCTTAAAGGATTTAAATTACTTTCCTTATTGAAATTATATCGACTAAGCTTTTTCCAAGCTATTCTTATAATAGAATATACTTTAGAAGAAGAATTGAATTTAGATTGAATAGTCATCGAGACAATTTTTTTTATTATGTTAATAATAATGAACTAGAGATTATTTATAATCAATTCCTATACTTTTGAGATTTTATAAATTATTACAACTGTTGAGTTTTTGTTGATAATTAATAAGCAAACAATAATTTGAATATTTCATTTAATTGCAACCTTTAATAATTGAATTATAAAGGCTTATAAACAAAGTAAAAAAACAATTACCTTCTTTTTTTAATTTCAAAGGTAGGATTATGTTAATAGTTGTTAGTGATGTAAGACATAAAAAAAAGGGATAATATTTTGAAAAAAATCTTTGATAATAGAATTTTTATAGACAATAAAGAGTTAAAATTATCTAGGCAATCTATCAGATTTAACTTTTGGCTCGAATTTTCTATTTATAGCTAATTTTATTTTAATTAATATATTAATATTAAATTAAATTTAATTAAATTTATGATATTGATTGTGTCAGCAATTTATGTTTGGCTAACCCCGCAGATTGGGTTATTGTAGATTCAAGTTTTTTGAAAGGATTTACATCTAATAATGATTGGCAGATTTCAAAATATTGCTACACATTTGACATTGATGCTGATTATTAATATTATACTTGTTAATTAAATTTCATAAGATATGCACGTCTTAAGAAAGACAATTAAAGAATAGATAAGATTTTTAATTAAAAAAGTTATTAATCAGAGGTAATAGTTGATATTTTCTTTGATAATGCTGGAAGTCCATCTGATAAAAAAGTTTACTTCACATTAAACTTGACCCATAGTTTATCTGCATAAGATATTTTGCAATAAAGAAATTATTTCAACTCTGATTTAACCTAAAATGCAAGATAAATATGCAATAGTTCAACAACATAATATTTTGATTTCAAGACATATGTTGGTACATCTCCTGCATTATATAAAGAAAAATTTAATATTTCAATAGGTATTGAAGCAGAAGATGACAATCAATAAATTGGGGTTAGAAATTTATTTGTCTACATTAAATATTGTTTACCAACTTGCAAAACTTGTTCAAGTTCGACTAGTTGTCTAACGTGTTATTTCGGTACTCTATAATAAGGTGGATCTTGTACTTGTGACCCTTATCATTAATTTGCTTAAACTGGGATTGGATGCAGATAAGAATGTGAAAGAGATTACTATATAGCAAGATCAGATAATATTTGTGTTCCAGATAGAAGAATTAAATCATATATTTCATATTTTGAATCTACAACTTTCACTGCTTATTCACCTTTTTAATTTATTTAAGATATTGTAAATCCAAGAAGTTCTCCATCGTTAATTTTCACTTGTCAATCTACTAATTATGTAGGAAGTTTAGTTTTTAACGAAGGAATGAGATTATAATTTGCAAATTCACAATCCTTAAAATTTATAAGGCTAAGGATTACATTTTATATAAAGGGCTTTTTAATTGATAATAGAATATAAATAATATTGGATGATTAGGTATAAGGTGAAATTATCAAGACTTCATCTAATTATAATTTTAATAATGTTAAAAAAATTTATAGTACAAGTATTATTTGCACTGATACTTATGATCTAATTAGAATAGAAGCAATTCTTCGAACTTACTTTGTTAATCCTTAACTCATTTTAAAAGGAGTATAGTTAACATAAGCAACTTCGACATGGGGATTCAGAAATATAACAATTGATAGTGGTAATTGTTAAGAAAATTGTGCAGTATGTACTGATTTTTCAACATGTCAATAGTGTGATATTAATTATGTTTTATTTTAAAATAGTTGTGTCAGTGCTTGTCCAGTGCATTCTGCTAATTGCATCGATTATGCAGATATGATACCAAGTAATGTAAACAATTATTCTTAGATTCTCGTTACTTAGCAAAAGGATTTTATAATTTAAATATGAGTACTTTAGATATAAACAATTTTTATGATGTTGTAATTTCAACTGGTAGTAATTTCTTGACAGGATAAAAATTTTCAATATTTCCCACTAAATTCGTTCTAGGAGGCGTTATGGTATGGAACAATGCAATATATAAAAAATCATGGAGTATATCCAAACCTCATTATGCTGTTACAATTAGATTTAATGTTACATATGGAGATTAGTATAATGGAAATTTTTATTATACAATTTAAGGAATAAAATCAGTA